ACAAGCGTAGCGGCTGTCTGTGTACACATTGGCTCGTTTTCCTTTGGCTAGCTGCAAAGCCCATGTCAGAGCTATCGGTTCTGCCAATTGAGCACCCCGCCTGAAACAGAGCCATAATCCGGCATAGCATAGCCGGTATAACAATTACACTGTTTATGAAAACTGAATCCATCAACGAACAATTTCATTGCCTCAAGCAGAGGCTCTGTGTCCAAGGGTCTCTGTATATCCTCTTTCAGAACTTGTGCACAGTTGTGAGCCGTCCCTTCATCAGGCAGCAAGAAAGCTGGGTCAATTGCAGTATTAGAATCAGTTTGAATGTCAACATTCATGCACAACAGTGTGGCTTCCCATTTTGGCTGTCGTTGGTTGGAAATTGCTCCTAAACAGTTGTTTGTAAGCAGTTTCAGTATCTGGTGTGCAATATCACCTTTTGATAACAGGCAATGTCCTCGGTTGCCTTGACACCCCATTCAGCACAGTCACAGATCAGCAGACATGCATGTTGGCCTGCTATGGAGATGGGGATAGGCGTAGAATAATATCCGATCATGCCTTACAACAGCCGTCCTGGCACACGCTGTCCCAGAGCCGCAGAATAAGACTTTGTGCCCACCCAAGTCCACAGGTGAAAGGGTTTTCTGGCATCTGCATGTCTAAGAGCAGGGCAAGAAGAAAGAATATTTTTGATACTAACAAACGCCTCCTCCATCTCCTCAGTCCAGTAGATGCATTCCTTTCCAGGCTTTCCTCCTTTTAGGGCTTCTGTCAAGAGTTCTGTATATTCAGACACATACTGGTGACATTAATTTAACAATCCTATTACCTGTCTTACACCAGTTACGGTTTTGGGCTTGGGAAGCTCAATGATTGCTTTGATCCGTTCAGGGGTGATGCGTCGTCCATGAACTCCAACAATCTGTCCCAGGTATGTGACCTCGTTTTTTGCCAGTTGAGATTTCTGCAAATTAATCTTGAAACCCCATCACTGAGGGTTTTCAACAAAAGCTGTACAGCAGTCAGATGTTTACTGATTAGGACTGGCAATCAAAATATCATCCACATATTGGAGAATAACAGAACCATCAGCTTCAAATTCTTTGCAAAGAGGGTCAATAAAAGATGCCAGTACCTGGCAAATTGCAGAATCCTTGTGGAAGTCGGCTCCATGTCCATTGTTGTCCAGCACATGAAAAAGCAAATTTCAGTTGGTCATCTGAAGCAAGAGGGCAGGTCTAAAAGCCATTAGAAATGTCCAAAGAAGGGAAAATAACAATTCTCAGAACCAAGTTCATTCAAAATAGTGGCTGAGTTGGCCACCAGGGGGAGCAATTTAGTAAAGTGGTTTACTTCTTTGTTATGATTCATTTAAAGGAATCTTCTCTCTCATTAGACATTACTACCACCTACTGGAAGTTTTAGATTCTTATTTTGAGGATTATTCATTTTAAAATGCAATAAAGTACAATAAACTTTATTCTTTAAAATAAAGGGATAGTTCACACACACAAAATAATTTACACACTTTTGTGCCATTTAAATCAGTATGAATTTCTTTGTATTGTAGATTATTTTTGTAAATGTTTACTTGCTTCTTTACACATTTAACACAATAATGAATTTAAATCATTTGGTGGTAATTTCTAAGTCAACTTTACATCATTAAACACTTTTTTGCAATAATTTGAATTAATTCAATTAAGGATAACCAAAAATAACTTTTAAGTTGTCACCTAATTTGATTCTTTCCCAGAGCCGTATCACATTTTATGAAATAATCCATTGATTTTATTCATGTGTTCTAGTGAAAGTAGAACCACCCATAAAGACACTGAAAAGTGTTTTCAAAAAAATAAATAAATTTTTTTAATTAAGGTAATTTATAAATATTTTACAAATAAATATTTAATTCTTAAAGGTGCAGTAGGTGATCTGCTAATGCCTAGTTCACATTAGAGGATTTTAAGCCTGATTTGAGCCCGATTTGGAAGTTAACGAGCTCGCCGACCGATCGGGCTGTGATCGGGAACAAATCTGCGGGTGCTCAGCGCTCGCCGCTCCTGCCGCTCTTTATGTGTGAACTACTGAACAACGCATCAACGAGGCTCGCTGACGCGTCGCCGACACCTCGCAGACGGAAATCCAACATTCAGCATGCTAAATATTCCAGCGCAGTCGGCCGACTCAACACCACGTGTGGTCAGATGTAGTGACGAGCTGCAGCCAATGAGAGAGCATATCAGCATGAGCTGAATGCCTGTGTGTTAAGGAGCTCGGCAGAAACATCTGTGATTGGTCAGAATGGGCATCGGTGCACTGGCTTCATTCTGTGTTAACGCAGACATGAGAGTAAGCTATATTAACAGTGGAACTAGAACTCTATAACTATTAGAATTACCATACTGCTGCTCATTCTGACCGTTCTCATATAAAACGCCATATTGTCACAACTTATTTACATTCATAGCTATTATTGAGATATTAAAATTAAGCTTTGAATGTCTGGCATCATATTTAATGACACCATTACCCTAAAAATATAATCTTTTTTTTGGTAATACAGCCTATAAATATGTAGTTAAGATACTAAAACACTTAAAGGTCTTGACTTTCATTTTCACTTTCAAACAGGAGCTATTCGGCACAGAATATGCTGTTTTTAAAGATATCTAAAGTAAATTGATGTTTTTGCCATCAGAAAGTTTTGTTTATGTTAGCAGGAAGTTGCAAGGCAAGAAAATGCACACATATTTAAAGTCACAGCGAAAAGTATCAGACATGCATGCAGTCATTTTAACCAATATGGTAATTTAAGGCAGAAATGCTCAGTTCTTTACTGTTTTGTAATAAAAAAATGACAATGTCAGAAAGAAATACACTGATAGTTAGAAAACGGCAGGGTGTTATTTGTTAGTTTTATTTCAAAGAGATATAAAATCACAAAAATTAAAAACTCTCTGTGAATCTATCCACTGGAACCTTGCAGATGAGTGATTAATCCGCTGATGAATCAGCTGATTTGATGATGTTTTTAAATGCTTTCTCCAAAGCTTGAAATGCTGTCAGTGATGTAATCAGCACACAAGCAGCCAATAGTGTACAGCTTTTTCTGACGACTCCTCCCTCAAAATTTCATTGGCTGTGGTTTGGTAGCTTGAATGAGCTGTTGGGGAATGAGTTGTTGTCAGATCCTCTAGTGTGTGACCCCCCTCTTGTGGATCATTCACAGAGTGTTGCGTAGTGTGAACACCACAGAGATTAAAAGACACAAAGTCAAGTCATGTAGTGTGAACGGCACAGCGATCTGCTGATGTTTAAAATCCTGAAGTGTGAACTAGGCTTAAGATGCTAATCGAATTCAAAGCACGCCTCTTGAAATCATGAGCGTGCGCACCGCAACACAACAGCAGACAACCTAGTTCATTCGCCAGTTAGAAGTGTATGTAGTGGTTGGCCGGGTGGCGTGCAGGTATTTCACTTATTACTAAGCCACACTTAACTTACATGCTATTTTAGACTGAATATTCAGAGTACCGGTAAACAATATCGGGAGTGCGTCACAGGCTGTCATTGTTCAGAAATGACCCAATGTTAATATAAAAGCTAAAACTTCAGCAAGCAGGCTAGGCGGAATAGCGTTATTTATGTTTTGTTGTTAAACTGAATATAAATCTACATCATCGATACTGTAAAAGCTCCCTTAAGAAAATAAAAATGTTCACATCTAGCTTCCACCTGTAGATTTCAGTGGCTGAACAACACGTCATGTGCATAGAACCCATCCATAACACAACTCTACATCAGCTCTGTGCGACTATATGGTTTTAAAACAGAACATACCTCATAACAAAAATTCTTCAGCCATGGTGTGGTGTTGTCCTACCTCCAGCGTGCAAAAGAAACTCCAACACGGATTCTGGAGTTTAAAAAGTTTCAATTCATTATTTGATTTTGCCGCAACTGACAGTCTCGCGTGCACGTGTCGCTCATCTAGGGGTGCACGCGCGGCAGGCATGCACACGCTAATGGCGGATATGCGTGGCCAGAGATGAGCAAGAGCCCAAATCTGCATTTGTTGACTGACAGTTAGAGTTACTTATCATAATTATGAGAGATGTCAGTGCGACTCTATTTAATTGGATAAACATTTTTTAGTTTTATGCCTCACCCAGAATATAAAAATACATATAAATACATTTAGATCATTTACTTTAATCATTACTATTGGACTGTGAAGAGACTTTCAACCAGCACAAGTAAAAATGTTTTGGAGACAATCAGCTACTGCACCTTTAATGTCTGCAAGGTTTTATTTTATTTTCTTACTCTATTTTTGAAGGACATCCTGAGATTTTTAACGACCACAAAGAGTCAGGACCTCGGTTTAACATCTCATCTGAAAGACAGCACTCACTGAGCAGTACAGAGTCCCCGTCACTATACTGGAGCATGAGGACCTACACAAACCACAGGTTGATCGCCCCCTGCTGGCCTCACTAACACTACTTCTGGCAGCAACCTAACTTTCCTAAGTGGTCCACCATCCAGGCACTGACCGGGTGCAGCCCTGCTCAGCTTCAGTGGGCGACCATGTAAAACTTGCAGAGAGATAGCTGCCGGAAGAAACCCTTTTTTAGCCATGAGGTAAGAGTTTGAGATCTGATTTAGCCTGTCATGAACACATATGGATCAATAGTTTATCACAATTATGTACAAAACAAGTCAGAATTCTGAGTCACAATTATTGTGTCCTATGGTGAAAAGGTGAAAAAATTTTCCTTACTGGTTAACTTTTTTGTGCAGGTTATGTAAAAAATTCAAGTTGACCTCAAAAATTTAAATTGAATTGACCAACTAGGCTGCTTGATCTGAAAATGATTGCTTTGTGATCTGTATTTTATACATCTCTATCAATAATATATGGTTTTAGGTCCATAAAATATATTTGTTTAATCTAACTATACAACATAGCAGAATTGAGCAGTTCACCAATTCAATCATTTGAAGCTGCTCTGGATGTTTATTATTGTCATTGTTGAAAACATAAATAGAAGAAAGCTTTAAATAAAGACAAATGAGCTTTCATACAAACATTAGGTCAGGAGAAAAAGTGTCACATATTTATTATAACACACAAACAAAACAAAGCAGGATAAAATCTGTCATGTGTAGTAACTCCAGATCATCAGTGCTTCGGGGATTTAGCATTTCCATTTTCTCATGCGAGTTCTCTACCATGAGGAACAGAAAAAAAAAAAGGAAAAAAAAAAAAAAAAAAAAAAAGAGTATAATTTCATCACTTTAATCCAACAACTCGATTATATTCCAGTTATTTGTGTCCAGTTTCCATTTCAGATGCTGTATTTTCTTCCAACGTGTCAGGGGTCATGGTGGTGACTGCTGGGTTGTGGGTTTGATTCTTCGATAAACTCCCGTAAATCGTCATGGCCTGAAAATGAAGGAGTATAATTAGATGTGCAGTACATGTAAAATGGCTTTTATTATTATTATGATTGTATAACTAACTTTATTAAGTTCACCTACACAAGTGCTCAATAATGCAAATATCTAATCAGCCAATCACATGACAGGGTCAAAATGAGCATTAAAATGGTGGAGAAAAATGATTTAACTGATGTTAAATTTGGCATTGTATCTAAAGCTATTTGATTGGTCCACAAATTGCTGATTAGCTGGGATTTTCACACATCTCTAGTGTTTTTAGAGAACTGGCTAAAGAATATAGAAAATATCCAGTGATCATTAGTTCAGTGGTTGAAATTGTCTCATCAATGTAAAAGGTCAGGGAATAATGTGCTGACTGGTTCAAATAGCTATTCAATACAACTGAGGTCTGCAGAAGAACTCCTCTAAACACGACATTAAACATAGAAGCAGAAGAAAATGCCAGTGACACTGCTGTCACCTGAGAAAAGCAAACTGAGGCTATATTCCCCATGAAAAGATATTTTTTTTTTAAATGTTAAATGAAAAGATTGTTAAAGTTGCTGTTATGTAAGTTTTTGAATATTCTAACTTACGAAAATACCATAATATGCTCACAGATATTTAATAAACATGCCAAGTGAAAATTCTTTTTTTATTTGAAAAACAATGCTAAAGTCAGATATTCTCCTAAAAATGTGCGTTCCGTCTCAGAACGTCCATCTCTGTTTTGGTCTTTATAACTAGACCAATACCACTTTATCCAATTATATTTCAACGGCCTGGGTTGCCTTGGTGGAAAACACAGCATATTTCATTTTAGTCATGAAGGCTCCCTCAATGTATGCAGACATAGCCAAAAATGTAACTTCGGATCAATAAAAATCTACAAGATTAAAATATTTCTAACATAAACATCAGCTTCTTTGGTTAGTTTGAGGCTAGATCATCAGGCATGCTCGGGGCAGGATGAAAAAAACACACTCCGATATTTTGAATTTGGACTGCAATACCTAAATTAATCACTAGGTAGTCTATCCAACATACTACACCTTTGAAAACTTGCCTGCACTGACAAGTCTTGATTTTAGCTTCTAAATTTGGATGTTAGGGTCATAATTTAAACTTGTTGTCCCCAAAAATAGTATCCACAGTTACCAGATCCCAATCCAACAAAGCACCTTTGGGATATGCTGAAACAACAGATGCACAGCAACCAATCTCAAACCCCTGCATGACAGTATTATATCATATAAATGAGACCAAAAGCTCTGAGAAAATTTTCCAGCACATTGTTGAATCGATACTAAGTAGAATGAGGCAGTTCTGAATGCAAAAGAGGGTCTAACCAAGTCTCAGTGAGGTGTACAAAATGAAGTGCATATGTGTGTCCAGCCATACCTGAGTGACCATGCTACTGATGTCTCCTGTGTTTGAGGGCAGTAAGATGGTGTTGCTCTCTTTGGCCAGTTTGGAAAAAGCAGAGACGTACTGTTCAGCTACACTTAAAGATGCTGCAGCATTTCCGTTCTGTACAGACACAGATATAGAACGTAAGCTTGATCATTGATTATCAGTTACACAAAAGAACCGATTTAATCCTCTCCTCTAGGGCTAAACAAAATATCGTTTGAGCATCAATATCACAATTTGTGTTTCCACAATAGTCACATCGCAAAACTATTTATACAATGAGGATCATGTTAATTCACATTTGATCGTTCAGTTTTTGTTCTTGAATACTGAATCCAACCAGTCCATCTACAGTTAAAATAAGAATTATTAAATCCCCTCGAATTTTTTTTTTCTTTTTAAAATATTTCCCAAATGATGTTTAACAGCAAGGAAATTTCAACAGTATAGCTGTGGTCAAACTGCACTTTTCTTCCAAAGAAGCATTCATACACACGCGAATGCGTCACACCGAAAACGCAAGGTCGTGCGGCAAGTTTTGCAGTTCACTGCATTGGAAAACCCATGTAAAACATGACCTCCCTGGACAGAAATTTAAAACATGGACCAATCGCTTCTTAATATACATATATTAAGGGTGGAGCCGAACCCGAATACGGTATTCGGAAAGGCACGAATAGCGTGTTTTTACGAATACTTAATTCGAACAAATACTTGAAAAATTATTTGTATTCGGGAGCAAGAAAAACACTATATCAAAAAGCAGCGTTTCCTCATGAGACCATAGTGCATGCCCGCGTGAGTGAGTGAGTGAGTGAGAGAGAGAGTGAGAGAGAGAGAGAGAGAGAGAGAGAGAGAGAGAGAGAGAGAGAGACGCTCAGTCAGAAGTCGGAGGGCGCTTCTCCACAGCAACAGACAGAAGGCTCGGCTGAGCGAAAAAAAATACTTCACTGCATCATTATTTTTGTTAAATAGATTTTTGTACCTTAATTGGGTTCCAAAGGCAGTTTATAAACTTGTAGCGAAGTTGAAGCGGAGTTTGATCGGACGTCTGACGTCTGCAATCGGGTGCTCTGTTTACGCAACGTTAGCTCTATTAGCACGGTAATTTAGACAATAGACTGTTGACAGAGTAACGTTAACGTTTGTTTATAAAGGTTAAAACGATGCTTGTGCAGTTGCGTCGAATAGTATGCACCTATGGGAGTTATATGGTACGTCTACATTACTGTCTTTTGCAGACAGCAAGATATATGCTATAGGCTAGTTAACCTTAGCATAGCTTCCCGTCACTTTTTATAAACTTAAAACTCCTCAAATACATTTGGGCACTATGAAAAAATGAGACTGCTGCTGAGCCATTTCTTGGTCCTCCACCAGTCAAAAGAAAAAAAAACATTCAGGTTCTGTGTGGAAGCATTTTACAGTCAGTGGTGCTGCAGATAAAACAAAGTGATACTGTATAATGTGTGCAAAAGTGAAATCAGCAGAGGCAGAGATATTAAACATCTGTCAACATCTTCTATCCATAATCATTCATTCATTTCTTTTCGGCTAAGTCCCTTTATCAATCTGGGGTTGCCACAGTGGAATGAACCACCAATTTATCCAGCATATGTTTTACGCTGTGGCTGCCCTTCCAGCTGCTACCCAGCACTGGGAAACATCCATACTCTCTCTTTCACACACATACAATAGGGACAATTTAGCTTACCCAGTTCACCTGTATTGCATGTGTTTGGACTGTGGTGGAAACCGGAGCACCCGGAGGAAACCCACGCCAACATGGGGAGAACCCAGTCAGGGCTCGAACCAGCAACCTTCTTGCTGTGAGGCGACAGTGCTACTCACTGTGCCACCGCGCAACCTTCTATGTAATGTATATCACATGCACTAAAAGCATCCTCTCCTGATACTGTCTGTGAACCCCCCACAAGCATCAATCCCCTCAATCAGTCCAGCTATGTTCTGCTAAATCCTCCACAAGCACCAAACCATCAACACAGCCACATTCTGCCCCAGCAAGTCAGTTTCAAACATAAAAAAAAAAAAACTTTGTGTCTGTTTTGTGGCAGGCAGATGACAATAGCAGGGCTGTATCTTTTAGTATTATATAGAATACTTTTGTTCTGCCAGATCTCCCAGGCAGGGTTTTATTTAGATTTATTTAGTTAATTTTAGTTTTTGGAATTTTGTGCATTGGAAAGAAGTTCTTTCAGAAGAAGAACAGTTTTTTGAAGTATTATTTGTTTTTATTCTGTCTATTCAGTGTCCTTCAACAAGAACGGTGGTGGTGGGGTTCATAATATTCACAATGGTATTTTATTAGTTGTTGGTTTAACTATGGATGAGATAATGGCTTCTATGTTATTATATTTTCAATGACATTTCTTGTCACATGTTCAAAAACAACAGCCAATATTGCATATCTATAATTTATATAATGGGTATAATTAAACAATACTTTCAATATAACGTAAATTAGAAGTGTAATAGAAAAAATATATATTTTTGCGCCATTTAGAATTTTACTCGAATACAAATACAA